CGCTTCATTAGTCATTATTAAATCCCATTGTCTCCAAAAACCCGCAGTTCAAACTCTCTCCGCTAATTCCCATTGTCTGCAATCTTCTCCACAGCACGGCTATTTTTAAGCCACAAACATTTTCTGGTCTTTTAATTAGAGTTTTTTGGCACCATCGTCACTAATTATACACAGTCTTGGAGTCGTGTGACAATGATCATGAGATCTCTGAACGACTTTTGGCACGCCAATTTATTTTCTTCTACAAAAAATCAAAAAAATAATTCGTGTCAAGTGTCTCCCTGGCCCGTTTGGTCAACTGTTTCCCTCCGCTTAAAAACTACCGTATCATGGCTGAAAAAGAGGCTTTTGGCCAAGTCTCAAAGGTTGAAAAAATTTTGCAGTTGACATCGCAAGGGCCAATTAATCTTTTGTTGAAGGGCCACAACAACTTCATTTGAATCGAATTTTTACGGCTTGGAGGTGCGCTTCGCCAAAAGCTGCAAAATTTTTTCACTGCAAATTTTGCTCGTCGCCGCGCGACAAATTGTTTGCGCGACGGCGCACTGCACGTCAAACTGAGATAAGCTAAAACAGTCCGGTGAATGGATTGACAATTTGCCAAAAAAAGACGCGAAAAAACGTTTTGTCGGGGAAGAAATGGGGATTTTTTCGGGCGAGAGAGTACGTTTTTGCGCGACTTTTCTCTGTCTTCTCTGCGAAATCAAGACGAAGTGTAAAAAACGGATAGCAAAGGGTCTATTCCGGTCACCGGACTCCTCAGTTTGACGTGCACCGTGCTGACACGTCAACAAGAGAATTTTTCGCTACAGTCTTTGTTGTATAGGAGTTTGTTATTCAGACCCCCGCTATATTAAAATAACATTTTTTTAGTTTTTCAACCATCTATTAACTCAAAATTACATACTAGTAGACCATCCGTTAAGCTGGATTGATCTTTGGCGTTTTCACGGGGCAGCAAAAGTCAGGGTGCGAGCGACAGTCCAAAAAAGCTGATTGCACGGTGCAATCTTCGGCTCGGTGAACTCTTCTTTACGCACAGTTCATGCCGCAGAAATCACTCGCGGACGGACTAGTACATATATAATTTTGAGTTAATAGATGGGAAAATTTCAAAACAAATGGTATTTGAATATAGTTAAGCTCGGGACAACAAACTCCGGTACAACAAAGACGAGAGAGTGCTCATTATTTTCCCGACAGACTGATAAACTGCGAACAAATTAAAATGTCGACAAAGATTCGGAAAAGGTCTAGTTGGTCACTGTACACTTTAAATAATAAATTTCAGTAAATTTTCAAGTAACGTGGGCACTTTTAAGTATGTACAATTTTGAACTGTAGACTGAGCCCACAGTGGAACGGAAATTCGAAGTGCGACACTCAGATACTGGGCCAAATTTAGGTTGTTTTGTTCCCAAACATATACGAGTTTTATAGTAAAGTGCAGGCAAAAAGATGCATAAATTTTGAGCAATTTATGCCGGTTCCCAGTTTTGCGGCGCTACGACTTTTCGAGTCAGCGACAGTTCGCGTCAACGATACTATGGATTGTTCGTCGTTGTATGCATAAGGAAGGCTAGGAGAAGGCTTGGCTAGCTGAAATAAAAATGCTATCAGGTCCTAGGATAGCTTATTAACCACTGAAGACTAACTTTAGTAATCGTTAAAATTAGGAAAAGTGAACTCATCGCTAACAATAAGCGTTTCAAATCTAGGAAAAGTGAAAGTCATCGCTAGCAATAAGCCTCCGCCAAGTCTTCGCCGAGCGTCCGCCGACCATCCAACGGCTTCTAAAGGCTTCGTCGGAATTCCTACAACCGTTGCTTTGGCATGCCCTATGCCCCGTATCGGTCGATTTTGTGTTGTCGAAAAGCCGGCAAAACGCTAATTAAAAATGTTTTGCGGCCTAGGCAGGTGTTTCCGGTAAAGTGAATATGAAATGTTCGGATTAGATGTATTGTTGACAATTCAAATTTATTGAACCCAAAAATTTGACCCGACCTATAAATTACGCACCGAATTCCAGATAACCTCCAAAAAAGTAGGTGTGGTCTCACCTACCGGAATAACACACGTTTCTGGGTGATACTTTTGATCTCATGAAAAACGATACAAATTGTTGGAGGGCGGTAAAACAGCTGATATACAGAGTAAACGCACTGTCGGATGTGGAAACTTTTTATATTCGGAAATTTTGAACTTGCATACATAAAAAAATATTGTGGTCTGCATGAGAAATGACTTTGTAAATAATTGAAAAATTAACGTAAATTAATGCCTTAATGTTAGTGCATTAATAGTGTTAGTACATTGTAAAGGGCTATTATGATCGCATTTTGTCGCATGGCATCTTGGTTATTTTTTAATTGGCGAAAATTTTAGCTGGTGATTTGCAGGCGAGGCCAAGAAATTAAACGGTCTTGGCTGATGACAAAAAAGGAGAATTGCGGAGAGCCGCCACACATACAGTGGGGGACCGGATCCAATGGTAAAAAACGTACCATTTTGCTTCCGGGAGGTATCAAAAATGTGGCAAAATGCTTCCCTCTCCAAGTGAAAAAACTTCGTTTTGAAGTGCGAGCCTTTTCCCTCACAAAAAGCTTTTGAAATGGGCCGAAAATCGCGGAAGATGTCGGCCTTGTACGTTTCAATTTTGCCTCTGCTCATCCCGGGACCCGGGCCTAGAACTGCTCCAGCCTGGCCCGGGCCAGCCCGTGTAAATTCATTTTTGTAATTCCGTTTCAATCCAACCAATACTACAGTGACGGACTTGATCCAGTGACGAAAAACGTACCATTTGGCATCCGGGAAGCATCAAAATTGTGGCAAACTGCTTCCCTCTCCAAGTGAAAAAAACTTCGTTTTGAAGGGCGCGCCCTTTTTCCTCACAATAAGGACGGGCGCGCTTTTGAAATCGGAGTTTTTTCACTCGGAGAGGGAGGTATTTTGCCACATTTTTGATACTTCCTGGATGCAAAATAGTACGTTTCTTGCCACTGGATCAGGTCCCCCACTGCAGGTGGGTGAAGTGCCAAAAGGAGGCTGTGGACTCCCTGGATTGCCGTGCACATTTTCCTACTTCATGCGGAAGTAGGGAAATGTCGGTATTGTATTAGAACGCGTGACTTCCAGCAAAAATAACGCTAAAATTTAAAGAAATATGAAATCTTAATTTGTGCCAATTTTTATTAATATTAAAATTTGAGCGCAACAGTTTAGGTTTCGTCACATATTTTAAAGTAGTGCATGAATAACAGCTTGCTTGAAAAACTGCTGAAATTTATTATTTAAAAGCGGTTTTTTGGGGACCCTCAATCTAAAAATCTCGATCGTTTCTGCAAAGCGCGAGCTAGGAGTCTCGGATATATCTCAAAGGGTAATTACCCCAAGTGTGACGCTCAGATTTTGATGACACAAATTTAGAATCCTTTTTGTAAAATCTATGTGCGAATACTAGCCCACTCTTTGCAGAAACCGCCGTGATTTTTAAATCGAAAGACGGTGAAAATTCAAGACTTTTTTCCGAATTTCGGCACGAAAAGCTTCATGCCTATTTCTGCCATAGAGAGTAATGTCTCTACAAAAAAATAATTTTTTCCGCACGAAACTAGCAAATTAATGGCCAAAAAGTGTTTTTCTCTCTGACCGCTCTCCATGTTTAGCGTACTCTCTCGGCGGCAAAGATTGTTCAATATCTCGGTGGCGCATGCAAAGCGCGAGCAAACACTTTTAAGAATTGATATGTGGCCCGACATATGTGCAAAATATAAAGAAAATCTGGCTTACATTAGCAGTTGGGTTACTTCCACTGTTAGTCAAAGACTATTGAGGGTTGTAAATCGGTAAATTTGCCATGATTTGTCAAAATCACTGCCGATATTTCCCAGTAAAGCCACTTACAACCGAAGAGATTTATCAAAACTTGAACCCTCTTTCCCCACCGGTGCTTCGCTCACCATCAGCATCTGCTCAACTCTGTAATTAAATAAACTAATAACCTCCGAAAGGTCAATCCCTCATTTCTCTTCGAGTAATCCTCGCCGGCTCCAGGGGCACAAATATCCGGGCATTGTTTGCGGTAATCTTAGGGCCCAACTGGAAGAAATCCGATGTTTGCGACATCGGATGGGGATGAATAGACCAGACGGATCTACGGTCTGCGTAATCGTGTCGTCGAAAATTTACCCAGGGCGAGAATAATTGAGATAGAAAACGGATAACTAGAGAGTCATAAGTGCGTCATAAATTGGATATATAGTATGAATAGAGAAAGCTCCCTCCGGGCCCTAAAATTGCCGAGATTTATGGAACACATGCGAAATGACACTAGCCGGAAGCAAAATGTGTATTCCGAGATTAAAACAATAAAAAGTGTAATTTTGGAGGGCCATATTCTGGAAATGAAGAAGCGCTCTGTACTATCAGCGGCGGGCGCACACTTGCGGGCAACCACTTTGCGGGCAACCAGTTTGCGGGCAAATTTTTTGCGGGCAGCCACTTTGCGGGCAGCCGACATTTGCGGCCAGCACCGGCATTTGCGGGCAGCCTGGGACATTTGCGGGCAGGGTCGACAGTTGCGGGCAGCCTGGAAGATTTGCGGGCAGCCGTCATTTGCGGGCAACCGAGACCTGATTGTGAGGGTAACAGGGTGGAGGTGGAAAAATTACTTGATAATTTGGAAATTTGCCGACATTTGCGGGCAGCCGACATTTGCGGGCAGCCGGCGCTTGAGGATAACAAGGTGGAGGTGGAAAAATTACTTCGATATTTTGGAAGTTTTCCGACATTTGCGGGCAGGCAATACTTGCGAGAAGCCGACATTTGCGGGCAACAGTTCCAAAAGTTCCAATACAGCCTGTGTGATTGTTTTTTCCTGTTGCCCGCAAATGTCGGCTGCCCGCAAGTGTCGGCTGCCCGCAAATGTCGGCAAATTTCCAAAATATCGAAGTAATATTTCCACCTCCACCTTGTTACCCTCAGGTGCCGGTTGCCCGCAAATGTCGGCTGCCCGCAAGTGTCGGTTGCCCGCAAATGTCCCAGGCTGCCCGCAAATGTCTCAGCTGCCCGCAAATGTTTCAGCTGCCCGCAAATGTGACCCCCCAAATTTTGCCCGCAAAGTGGTTGCCCGCAAACTGGTTGCCCGCAAAGTGGTTGCCCGCAAGTGTCGCGACGCCAAGTTCTCTGGCCTTTCAGCCTGTCAGGAAAATAATTTGGACTTGCCGCGCCTTGGAATCGGCCATCGCCTCGTTGCGACGACTAGCCGCGGCTGGGGATTTGGTGCGCGACTGGACCTCTTCTTCGACGAGGCGAAACATTTTGCTGCGGCAGCCCGCCATTATTTTCCCGACAGACTGAAATTGTAAAAAGCACTGTGATCATAAAGGATATACACCCCCAACAAAACCGGCGATAATCTTAAGGAACTCCCTTCAAAATTGCTCCCTCAATAGTATGAAGCAGCTTCCCCACCCCGAAAAGAAACTGAGGAAAAGTCGCATGGCATAATGTGATAACAAAGCACAATCCTCTACAAATTGCCCTTGATAAAGAGAAAGAACACCTTGGAATTCCCGGTGCTGTTATGTACAGTAGGGGACCTCATTCAATTGCAAAAAAAAACATACCATTTTGCATCCGGGAAGTATCAAAAATGTGGCAAAATGCTTCCCTCTCCAAGTGAAAAAATTTCGTTTTGAAGGGCGCGTCCTTTCTCCTCACAAAAAGAGCTTTTGAAATCTGAATTTTTTCACTTGGAGAAGGAGGTATTTTGCCACATTTTTTGATACTTCCTGGATGCAAAATGGTACGTTTTTTGCCACTGGCTCAAGTCCCCCACTGTACTTATTGAACACGTATCTTCGCGCGACAAACGATAAGAAAAACGCGAATAAAAAGTTGAATGTGCCGTCTCAGCCCATTTCAAAAGAATTTTATTTCGCACTGTGCGTGGTCGTCGAAGTTTCTCGCACGATGGCGCACCGTGCAAAGATGCCAAGATTTTTTGGTTTGCCTTTCAGTCTGTCGGGAAAAAAATGAGCATCGGGTCGCTGTGCCAAGCAAAAAGCAAGAAATTGCACAGTGCAAACAAAACTTTTGTTTTCGCACGGTGCGTGTCGCCGATTTTAGTCCGGCGACTTTTTTGAAGCTTGCACGGTGCAAAAAAAAGAAAAGCAAATGCACTGTGCGTTAGCGACATGGGTATGAAAAAGTTCAAAATGCACTGCGCGTTGGCGAAAAACCCTTTATGAAAACACTATAAAGCTGTCGGGAAAATAATGAGCATCGTGTCACTGCGCCAATCGCGTCGCTGAAATGAAAAGAAATTAGATTTTCGACACAATCGTTTTCTAGGAGGCAATGCGATTTTCGCTGCGACACTGTGGTCATTATTTTCCCGACAGGCTGAGAGTTTTGTTCTTGTTGCCTACAGAATCCAGAGAGAAGGAGCGAGATAAATCGAAGATCCAAAAATTGTCCTTTTCGTCTTATTGTCATGTGAGAGCCGTGATTTGCAAAAACGAGCGGTATTTGGTATTTGTCTCACTTTTTTGTACAAAATTCGGTGCCAAGAATTGAACGGATTCTTATTGTTCCGAAAAATGTAAATATACTTTTTTGTTTTACTCTAATCCAAAAAGTTACTTGGAAAACAGCCTCTAACTAAATGTAATAATGACCGTTTCTGAAGCCACAAATTTTCTGAAATACAAAACTTTTTTTTTAAAATGTGAAGCCATAAAAATCAAATTTTTCGCCAAACTTCTTTATCAAAAATGCTAGTGTTTGGAGCCTGGAAAGTCGCAAACGTCGTGTGGAGAGAGTGCAAACCGCTGATTTCCAAAGAATTTTCAATTTGTTAGACACCGTTTTAGCATACAAATTTTCATGTAGACCGACGAAGTTGCATGGAACAAATCGCAAAGACATTTGTATGTCATCTGACTTAATCGGGTTCACCAGGTGGTGTAGGGAATTTCAGGATGTTGGGTGCGTCTGTACTGGTTGCAGAAAAAGCGAATGAAAAATTCAACCTTTCGAAATTCGAAATGTCAAATTTTTAATGTAATTTAGTCGGGTAAACATGTACGTAAATAAAATTTTTTTCTCAAAATTTTCGGACACTCACTGAAATGGGTTAAAATTCGATTTACAATCAGTTTTACCCTAATTTCCCACTCAAACTTACCTCAACTTCATTTATGACACTTCGCCCACCTCAACGCCACTATCGATTGAAAATATTCTTTTTTTCCGAAAAAAATAAAAATTTTTCCTACGAAAAGTGAGTGGAGCAATTTAGGCGGGTGTTCGACCTTGATTCCGTTGCGTTCTAGCACAGTTTTCAGCGTGATTCCCAGTTTTTGATAGCATTATTATCTATTTGGTCTATTTTTGAGTATTTGGTCAATGAATTCGATGGAAAACACAATTTCTCAGAAGGATTTCGATTCGATTGTGAGGTAGGTGCACTGGTTTTTTTTGTTTTGATTCCGATTTAGTTTATTCAACTATAAAGAAGCGCGATTGTCGGCAATTGGAGATCAGTTCTTACAGGTAATGGTGCAGATGTGGTTTTTGATTTTTCGGAGGGATTGATGTGATGAAGTATGAAGATTTACCAATCATTTGATAGATTAAGCTCTTTTCGTTCTGTTGAGTGTAAAATGGAGATTTTGGCTTTCGTATTTTACTCGGCAAACCCATTTTTTTGAAGGACTTCAGATGTGATGCAGATTTTTTAAAATGTGTAATTTTCCACAATTTTTCGAATTTATGGTTTCTCAAATCTTTGAATAGTTTTTTCACGTACTGAATCCACTTTGTATTGATGTTTTCGAACAATTCATCTTATACTGGACGTTTAGTCGGGGTCTTTTCTCCAGCATTGGGCCTCTAAAATTAGATAAAAAACAGGTGCTAAATCACGTTTAGACTAGTGCTTTCGACTCATAATTTATTTAGAAGCCGTGAGCATTTAATTTATTCATAATTTTCAGCATTTCCGGCAGAAAAATGCGACTATGTTATGCATGTGTTTGGTAGCCCTATACGAGGAACATAGTTTTGTGTCGAATGTAACGCAACGGCTAACAATAAGCTACCTGATATATAGGTGAGATTTTTTGATTTATTTTTTTTGTTGTTTTAGGAGAAAATCGGAATTTGTAATATTATCCATGAAACAGCTGATGTCAGACTTGAAAACGAGATGTCTTTTCCGACTGAAAATCGTGTGAAAAAGTCTTATTTTATCTTTTTTAAGGTTAAAAGATCTCTGGAAGCCGCAAATAACCGAGAAATCCGGGATTTTTTCTCATCCATACCTAGTTGTTCTTCTAAAGATATTCTGGAATTATGTCTCACCGACCGGCCTAAACTCGAACGATCGGAGTTTAATCCATTTGCTGGGGCAATTTCCCAAAATTACCGCTCAAGAATGTCATTTTGTTGGGCGAATGTTAACCGAGAACCCAAATGGTTTAGCGGAGCTCTTCGAACAAAGTCCGATCGCCATAGCGGATAACCCGGTAACTGAGCAGGTGAGATTTTGCTATTTTTTGTTTGTTTTTAGATCCTTGTTGACTATGGATAAAGTTCAAATTTCCAGACATTCAATGTGATCCCGATAAAGACGTTTGTCGAGGAGCAACTCCATCAATTCCGATGTTTTAGTGGGACACCAAGATCGGCGGATGCGGATCCTCGAGTGATTTCGTCTTTTTCAATCCTAAACAACCCAATACTGTTTGCGGAACTGGAGAAGATCTTATACACACTGGTACCGCCGAACCGAGTCTCCCAGTCGACCTACAGCCCTCCCAGATTCAATGGGTATCAGAAGCCGGGAGTTAGTGCTCCCGTTGGAAGCCGTGCGGACTCCGGACTAGGACAAAGTGTGGGGCAATTGCAACGATCGGACAGCTCAATAACTCAGAACCTTCCTCAGCAACCAGTCTCCGCCGAAAGAGTCAATGGAATCCAGCCGATCGGCAGCAATAATGGACTTGCTCAAATCACCCCAATAGGTCAGCCAATAAATGGAAATGGACAAAATCAGGAGCCCGACAACAAAACACAGGCGTTGCAATGGCTTCGCAAGATCACATCGGGTCAAGCCTTGCATAAGGGAGAACTCCAACGGCTCATGTCGATCCTAGAAGACGACCCGAGCATCTGGACACTAACCGAGTTTGATGTACCACAATTCGCAAAAATGATCGAATTGCATCCGGAATTGGCGTCGGAATGTTTGCTTCAGGAACACATGAGCCAGTCACCATTGTTGACAAAGTGAGTGCATTTTTGTGGGTGATTTGGATAAGGGTGACATTTTATACGAAGATTTTGGAAATTTGGGATAATTTGAAATTTTGGTATTTTAATGGGTCAGAAGCTGGGTAATGGATGGAAACAAGGTTTGATTGGAAAAATGGGAGTTTTATAGACTAATAAAGTTGCCTTTGAAGCATGAATTGGTAGATTTTAGAAAGATTTTTGGATTTTTTAGGATTTTTTGATTTTGTATGTCTAATAAGTGATGCATCTGGCGAAAATGAAGCTTTGCTTGAAGAACCAGATGCCTGTCAGCTGATAAAATAATTTTTGAACTGAAAAATTACAAGGCCTTTCAATGTTTAGCCCTTTTCGCCATAGAACGCCTAATTTTCGATGGTTTTATCATTTTTCGTTTTTCAGGCATATAAATGTAGTGCTTACGATGGAAATATCGGTGCAGACGATGGTGTCGGTCAGCAGGTTTATGTGCCAATGTGAGAAACTGAAGTTGGCCATCCCCGGAGACTTCCTAAACGCCTACATCACATATTGTATCGACACGTGCCAAAGAGCCTCGCAAAACAACCCGTCGGCCGCACATCGGATGGTCCGCATGGTCTGTGTCTTCTTCTTGGCACTGTTGAGACTCGGCAACTTCAATATTAAGGTAGGAATTGGAATTTTTTAAAGTGGTTATATTGGGTTAGAAGGGAACTGGGACGATTGGGGAAACCGAAAAGTTTTTCTTCGTTGTCAAAAAAAGGCGAAAAAATCAACTTTTCAGCCAAAAAATCGGTGTTGCAGTTGATGAAATGATGTTGCAAGTAATTGTACTGCCTTCTGGATGAAATGAAAAACATTTCGTCTACTTGATTTGAAAATATTTAGCCGAAAAATTAAAAAAAATCCAAAAAATATACTTATTGGAATCGAGCTGGGACGATTGGGGAGACCGAAAAGTATTATTTTTCTTCGATGCAAGTTCGAGTTAGGATAATCGAGGATGCTGATTTCGAAAATGACATTTATTTTTTTGATCTTTACTTTTTTCCTCAAGTAGTACTGTAAAGTATAATAGTAACTTTTTGAATTTTTTTATACTCGATTTGGAGGGTTTCGATGGTGCTGATTTCAAATCAGAGAAAATGAATAAGATTTTCGAAATCCGCAACATCGAAACCCCACAAATCGAGTATTTATGAACAAAATTCGAAAAATTACTACTTTACGGTACTACTTGAGGAAAAAAGTAAAGATCAAAAAAAATTAATGTCATTTTCGAAATCCGCACCCTCGATTATCCTAATTCGACACTTGAATCGAAGAAAAATAGTACTTTTCGGTTTCCCCAATCGTCCAACTCCGGGTTGGACTTGATGTCTAAAATAAGGGGAAATTGATGGATAGGAGCCTTTTTTAAAAGATTTGAACGTTATTTTTGACGAATTAATGCATTTCAGCCCCGAATCGCCGAAATATTCAACTTTGCAACGTTGTTCTCGTCAGTCAAGGAGACGTCGCAGCTCTACCAAGCCATCACACAACTCAAAAATTCGACGTCATCGTGAATCTCAGCGCGACCATTGTTGCCGAAAACCCCTCCGAAATTGTTGTTAGGTTCCCTGTTGAATTTCTCTTGTTGTTGGTGGAGCCTCCTACTCCGGATTTTTTAAGCTCAAGGCCCGTTCTTTTAAACCCCACGCGGTCTTTTTTCTAAACGAGTTTATTTATTTTATAAAGGATTAGATAATAAAGATATACGTGCTGAATTCCTTGCAATGTCAATGAGGGAAATTTTGACAGCTTTTGTATTGAAAAAACAAAGTTTTCGGAGATTTTTCGGTATTATCCATGATGGTCAAAAAGATTGGAGGCTAAAATTTGGGGGCATTATATGCCTATGATTAGTTAAGCGTTCTAGTTGGGCTATCTTGGCGTCGTACTCTTCAAACAATCTAAAATAACCGTAATAGTGCTCGTTCCTAATACTTGAGTCAAGTGGTTCCCCGGTGGGTGAAATACTTGACACGTTTCGAAAAATGTTTCTAATTTTTCAGATTTCTTTGTTTGAGAAGGTTCGTTTTACAATTTTAGTTTATGAAACTATGTGATAAGTTTGTTTTTTTATGATTTTATAGGTTTTTGTTCTGTTAAATCAGGTCTGATATTAACCATGCCAATTTTTTTGATTTCAAAGTATTTTGGAACTTTTTGACCAAAAAAATTGAAGAGTTGCTTGTAAAAAACGTTTTCTATGACCTATCCTTTATGTTTTGACGGTTTGATCCCAAATTTTACTTTTGCCTATTATTTTCAACATTATTTTAGCTTCTTCCACATGGAGGCCTTAGAAAACCGTCCATTTCTCGCCTTTCTCTCCCAACTTGAAGCAGAGACAGTACGAAGACTCTACGAGTCGAAACCGGCATGTCTCGCGATTCTTCGGATGTTGCCGCCATTGGCGCAGAAATGTGTGTTGATCATGGTCTTTCGATCGGAAGGGTAAGACAATTTTATATTATTTTTGCAGTTTTAGGAACTTACTGGAAGAATGTAACAAGAATTATAAGGACGCGGTTGAAGAGAACATCAGACTGTTGCGGCAATTGCATATTCTGAGTGCAGACGAACCTCCAATTCTGAATGTAGGTGCACATACAGAATTTTTCAAAATTTTAGATATCAAGCTTAATGAAGTCTGATATTTTGATGTCTATTGTGTTTTTAATTGCTTGTACTTTGTTTGCAGATCGATTTCCGGATGAATTACCTTCAGTCCTTGATGAGGCCGCTTGCTCAAGTTGTTGGACTAGACCCCGTGACAAGAATTGATGAAAAGGTTCAGAAAGCGGCTAGCCGTGACTTGTACAAGAAGGCACTGGAACGATGGGAGTGTGTGTTGAGTTATCTGGCTCTTCCGGACAGTGCCGCAAGTGTTTCGATGCTCACAGTCGAACTGTTTGAACACATTGGGTTTATCAAGAGGAAAGGAAATGGTTCAGGTAAAAATTGATGTTTCAGACTGTTTATTAATATTTAAAAGGCGTTTATTCTCTATTTTAGCTCGAGACATCACTTCATTGGGTTTCCAATTCCTTCTTCTTGGTCGTGCCGAGCAGATCTGGTCCTACCTAATGTATTACCTAAAATATATTGAAGTGACCACCGAAGACGTCTTTCCTTTTGTGGAATTCTTCTTAAGACTCTGCTTATGTGTTGATCCAAGCGACTGTATGTTTTTTCTACGATTTTTGTCTTTCGGTTTTTAGGTTTTGAAAAATATCTTCGTAAAAGCGGTCATGGATTATATTTTCGATGTTTCGATGCTAATAATCGCGTGTTTTAGTGTCTGAAACGGCGCAAAACTCGGATACCGAACGACTTCCCGCTACGCCCTATCTAATAGACGATAAATGGCCGGAAATTATCAAAACTGGCTTCTTGAAACACCTCCGAGAGCTGGGGCTGGTGTTTATTCGAAAAAGTAAAGACGGATTCTTCTTTATCACCCCTCTGATGGCACTTTTACTTGCCGGCGATGGCGAGCGAGATGTGGGGTTGGAAAACACAAGGCAAAAAGGATTCCTAATCGCCGAAACCAACTATCGGCTAGCCGTTTATTCCAATTCCCATCTCCATTTGTCAATTCTGAATCAGTTTGCCGAAATCGTAGCTAGATTCAACAATATGGCTGTGGGTTTGATGAGTCGGGATACTGTCCGACAAGCGTTGCAGCGAGGAATTACTGCGAAACAAATTACTCAGTATTTGAGGGCAAATTCTCATCCCAGAGCGGTCGATACGCATGGTCAATATCATTGTGTTCCTCCAACGGTGGTTGATCAGGTAAGAAGATTTGGCTTTTAATCGATTACTAGCCATTTTTTGAGGTTTAGGAGAGATTTTGTTGAAATAAATTGAATTTTTTATATTACACTTGCCTTCAGATTCACCTCTGGGAAGAGGAGCGAGAACGCCTGCAATGTCAAGATTGTGCCGTGTACAGTCTGTTCGACTCGGACGAGCAATATGTGCAGCTCAAGAATTTCGCAACGGAACGCGGCTTCCTTCTTTACGGCGATGATATTCAACGGGTTGTTGTGGTGACCAACGAAGGAAATGAAATGGTCCGGGAATGGTATCACGCCCTAAACGAAAGCCGAATTCATGCATAGGGAGGTCAAAAACGACGGAAAGATAAGATTTAGAATATACAGAGCCGGGTGGAATTGTTTTTTTGAACAATTTTATATTGTTTTAGGCAAATTTAAGAGCTAATAATGAAAATTTTGATCTTAAATCTTAAGGGTAATGCAGAAAGAGTTCGTTTTTTGGCCAGTTATTATGTAATTTGTTCATAGATCTCATTGTTGAAACTAACTTTTAATAAATATGGGTAATTTTTTTATTAAAGCTTGTAATTATCCTATGCGAAGATTTTTTGTCAAAATTTCCTAATTTATAGATAGTGGAGCGGACTGGCGATTATTACATTCTTGCTGTGTTAACGTTAACACAGCGTTATACGACGCAAAAACGGGGGTTGGAAGGCAAAAATTGGAACTATTTTTCTGTAAAATACAGTAATTGTGGGCAAAAATTGTGATCATTATTGCTGTCGTTATCAACCGCTACAACTATTGCTACTTTTTTCCAAAACTCCCAGCTCTTCTGGGAAGCGGTTTTGGCGAGTGGATGCCGTTGGGTATGAAAAGGTCCGCAAAAAAAGATGTTTCAAAGCTCATTGGGACCCGGAGGGGTAATCGACCATGCTGATCGACCAATCCAATCCATTTTTGCTGATTTTTACTTGTTTTTCTGAAGCAGTACTGTAAATTAGTAATGCTTTGTCTTTTTTCGACAGGTAAAAGTGCTGTCTTACAGTGCTATTTAAGAAAAACAAGTAAAAACAGAAAAAATGGACTGGATTTTCGAAATCAGCATGGTCGATTACCCTACACCCCGTCCGGATCCCACTGAGCTTTGAAAAGTCTTTTTTGCGGACCTTTTCACACCCAACGGCATCCAGTGGCCAAAACCGCTTCCCAGAAGGGCTGGGAGTTTTGGAAAAAAGTCGCAGTAGTTATCGCCGTTGATAACGCCAACGATAATGGTCACAATTTTTGCCCAAAATTACTGTAGTTGACAAAAAAATAGTTCCAATTTTTGGCAATCCAACCCCCGTTTGGCGTCGTTTAACGCTGTGTTGACGTTAACGCGGCAAGAATCTACTAATTACCAGCCCACTCCACTATCTAGAAATTAGGAAATTTTGACAAAAAATCACCCGTTTTGGCGTCGTATAACGCTGTGTTAGCGTTAACGCAGCAAGAATCTACTAATTGCCAGTGCACTCCACTGCCTAGAAAATTTGTGCCCAAAGTTACTGTACGGCCTTTTCAGCACTTACAGGCTGAACCAAATGTCTTTTTAAAAAGTATTAGTGGTTGATGAATTCCATGTTGTATTTTAAAGATACAATTACATGTTTGCCATACGCGGAAAACATATCTTGAGAACGCTGGAACCGACCTTTTTTCGAAGTGGTTAGCGATAAGTGCTTGCGTTTACAGTACTCTGCTACAATTCTCAGGCCTGGAATTCATTTCGTTCAAGGCTTTCCATCTAATTTCTTCATTACTAATGCGCATTTTGTACGAAATTTAGTCGACTTCATTAATGAATTATAGTTTTTCCATACATATCAGAACATGTCGCCCAACGAAGTGACTATAAAAAGACGTGTGAAATTAAGTGGTTCCTGAATGTTTAAAGATTCGATATAATACGAAAAAAAACGCTGAATCCAGAGGTCCAATGAACCTTTTTTGTAGGAGAAAAAGGATGAGTTTGACAAGAGAAGTACCCCAAGTGCGACGCTGGGATTTTCTTCAAATTTTGCGCACACATCAGGCATAGTCCACGTATGAATTACTGAAAACTTAAGCTCGTGCTTTACAGCCGCTGCTGAGATATTGAACGATCTTTGGGGCCGAGAGAGTACGCGGAGGGTGGTCACAGAAAAACATTTTCGGCCGTATCTTTGCCAGGTTTGCGCGGAAAAAATTGATTTTTGTGAAGGCATTATTCTACAGTGAGGGACCGGATCCAGTGGCAAAAAACGTCTCCAAACCCTTCCCTTCTCTAAGCTAGAAAACTCCGCTTTAAAAAGCCCGCCTTGAAGGAAAGGGCGCGCTTTTCAAAGCGGAGTTTTTTAGCTTAGAGAAGGGAAGGGTTTGGAGACGTTTTGGTCCCTTCCGGGATGCAAAGTGGGACATTTTTTGCCACTAGATCCGGGTATTACAGTAGAAATATTATACTTTGCCAAAGTCTGCAAAAAAAGTGTAGCGTTAAAAGATGTGGGTGCACTTAAGAAGTTATTTTAGACGACCGTGATATCACTGTCAAAGTTGAACGTTGAATTTTCATATTATACTTCAACCTTCGCTCCTTTTACATACGCTACAATAAGTGCATGTGGGTGCTTGAATTTGTCGCTTCGAGTCATCCTTTTAAAGGACCTCACCAACTACATTTGAATCGCATTTTTACGGCTTGGAGGTGCGCTTCGCCAAAAGTTGCGAAGATCCCGCGAAAAAAACAAATACAAAAAATAATCGAGAATTTTTCTCGAAAATACAAAATTGAAGAAAGTTTGAGCTAGTTCATGTTCCAAAGTTGCTGAAAACGCTTCTTGTTCACGTGGATCCTGCCGACACTCATTCGGATGCTCTTGGGGAAGGCTGATGTAAGTTTTCTTTGGTTTTTGCTGGGTTTTTTCGCGTTTAGGTATGAGTGAAGTATCTTGCACAATATTTCGGCGATTCCTTTGAAAAAAAGCCCGAACGAAGTGTTGAGGAGCAAGTTTTGGACTCAAGGCTTGTGTGGATTCCATTTTCTTGCCTTTTTAGGACTGTGTTTGCCCATTTAGAGATATTTTATATTATTTTAGTCAAGTGCTTCAATTTCAGAGTTGTGCAATCGCCTGGAACGACCCATGAAGATGAAGAAACCGGCGTGTCCACACGGACCTGTCGTTTACATAAAGCATCCTGGTCAAAATAAAAGAATGTAACTTATATACCTTTTATTATCTAATACATCAATAAAAACATAATAATCATGCAGTTTTTGTTCAATTTGCTGGTCTACGAACCGCTTTCGTTTCCATAGTTGATCCATTGATTCACGAAGACAAGTGCCCATCTAAAACTAAATGCATAGAGGCCGAGAAATTACGTAACGAAATTTTAAGCAAAAAAGTAAATAACACATTACCTCACATGAATATCCCATAGACAACGTCCCTGTCTCGAATCGTGATGCAAAGGAATTTGTATGAAGAGAATTCTTCTTCATGCATCGCGTTCTCGGCGATTGAACAACTCTGAAATTGAAAGACTTGACTAAAATAATATAAAATATCTCTAAATGGGCAAATACAGCCCTAACAAGGCAAGTAAATGGAATACACACAAGCCTTGAGTCCAAAACTTGCTCCTCAACACTTCGTTCGGGTTTTTTTTCAAAGGAATCGCCGAAATATTGTGCAAGATACTTCACTCATACCTAAACGCGAAAAAACCCAGCAAAAACCAAAGAAAACTTACATCAGCCTTCCCCAAGAGCATCCGAATGAGTGTCGGCAGGATCCACGTGAACAAGAAGCGTTTTCAGCAACTTTGGAACATGAACTAGCTCAAACTTTCTTCAATTTTGTATTTTCGAGAAAAATTCTCGATTATTTTTTGTATTTGTTTTTTTCGCGGGATTTTCGCAACTTTTGGCGAGGCGCACCTCCAAGCCGTAAAAACTCGATTCAAATGTAGTTGGTGAGGTCCTTTAAAGCTCTCTCTGAGTTTGAAAACTCCAAAAAATTCCAATTGTAGCGAAGAAATCAAGGCCAATATAGTTTAGTTTTGAAATTTTTGGAAACTACATGATACGAAAATCTTCATCCATCCTTGTTTTCTCTCCGAACGCCTTTTTTGTACCGCCTAGTTTATTTTTTTTGTAGGCTAACTGTTCAGTAATATATGCATGGGGATAGTAATTAATTTATGTCCGCAGTGTCTTCCGGCTTCTATATACTACTTGGACTGAAATTGTATTAACGACGTTTACTTCTAATATGGGGGTAATTAAGGCAGATGATGAGGAACTATGCAAGAACTGTTATAAGTGCTAGTTACGGGTCTAACATGGGACTTACAAAGTTTGGTTTTGACATGGGAAGCGTCTCAAGTGCAACGCTCGTATTTTCTTTAAATTTTGCACGCATGTTGGGTCTGTGTTGTAGTTCATTTGTTCTAAATTTTAGCTGGCGCTTCGCAAGCGCAGCCGTCTGTCAGGAAAATAATGAGCATTCTGTCGCACCGAAAGTCGCATCGCCGCTGAAAAAATGAATTTTGTCGCTGCAAAATCAAATTGCTTTTCACTTCAGTGACGCGGTCAGCGCAACCGACATTGTGCTCATTATTTTCCCGACATACTAATAAAACTTTGAGACATTCCCAAAAAAACTCGTGGTTTTACAGACCAATGGCCGAGAAACAGTTTGACGTCTTTGCGGTTCACTGTCTACGTACGTAATTGCCCTTTTGTGTTAGTTTTTGCCAACAAGAAACTCGATTATTGTCTGTTCCGAAAAGCGGGGAAAGCCCATAATTGAAATATGGCATTTTATATTTATATTGATATATATAGATTTTGTTTCGAGGGCACTTCGTCGCGCAGTGCAAAAACATAAAAAATGTGAAATGAACGATGCAAGATGGGGGGGGGGGGGGGGGGGTGTATTTCCCCTGTAAGCCACACACTTTTACTTTCACAACACGAATTATATATTATAATTAGTTTTTTTAACGCTGTCTGGCTTGGATCTTAATTTTTTTACCATTGAATTCTCTACTCTTATTTTTATCGTAACTCTTAATTTTAGAGAGTTCCATCTGGGTTCGAAATGAACCGACTTTGCGAGGAATCGGAGACATATCGGAATCATATTCCTTTACTGATCACTGAAGCGATTTGCGCTGTTGCTTGCATGCCTGCCTTTGCAATGCTGATGTATATTTTCTTCACGAGGAAGCAAAGACCTATTACCAGCTCGATGCATTTCAATTTTAGAGTACGTTTTGGAGAGAAAATTTCTTTTTCTTTGGCTCGTGGTTGCGATATTAAACAAATATAAGGGGCAACACACGGCAATTTGTTTTTGAAAAAAATAAATATATTTTTGTCAAAAGCTGGAGCTGCGCCCTAGACTTTTGCAAATGTTGGGGCCTTTTTATAAGGAGGCAGCTTTAAACCGATTTTTGCCGTAAAAAACCGGTTTGTGTGTAATTATTTTCTGCCGTTATATTACGATATTTCTGCGGAGGGGAACAGTTGACCAAAATGGCCGGGAAGAGACTTGACTCGATCATTTTTTTCCATTTTTTATGTTTAGACAAATTGGCGTGGGCAACAGCTACATACTATACATACAATGCCTTTGAATCACGCTTTTATAGTTTGGGCGGCAAAATGCCAAACATGTTTTTTCTCGAAAACAAAGCCTGTGCACTTGAAGACGGGAAAATGTCACCATAATTTCTTATGGTGACATTCTATAATACACGTTTTTGCCGATACAATAGGCTAAGTGTTTTTTGAAAACTTTGTTTTGCAAGCTGCAAAAGCGCAATGAAAGAGATACTGTAGTTTTTACAGTGTCTTTGAGCAAAAGAACAGAAAAAGTTATCGCTGATGATGGATTATCGGTAGTCTGAAATGTGCCCGTTTTTCTCAATTTTCGCAATTCACGAGGAAAGTACCCCAAGTGCGATGCGGAATCAGTTTTTCTGTAAATTTTTCCCTCACTCTGGGCATAGACCACATAGCCGAGATATTGAACGAGCTTGTGGCCGAGAGAGTACGCGAAAAACGGAGAGCGGTTAGTGTGAAAAAGACTTTCGCCAATTTTCTGGAGAAAAAATTGATTTTTTGTGGAAACACTGCCTTATACGGTAGAAATCGATACAAAAGTTTCCAAAATATATAAAAAAGTGTCACATTTTTTTCTAATTTTTGCCCTAAAAAATCTCGGTCTTTTCTGAAAAAAACCTTTTCCAGCTGCTCCTCTCCAACATTTGGGTGGTCTTGATGCTCCAATTGGGATTTACAATCTTCTCGAACGCCTATTTGCTGTATTTTCAAATCTTTGACACTGAATATTGCTCCAACGTCTTCTACACATGGCAATGCTCGGTGTTGCGATGGCCTTTGCTGTGGACCGTTCCGGCCATGATTTTCATTCACGGCGCCGCATTTGTGGAGAGACTTATGGCGACGCGGAAGTCGCGGAATTACGAGCATCGAGGGAAACGAGTGGCACTTGTCGCCATGATAGTTTTGGTGAGCTTTATCAAAAAAAAATTAAAATTTTCAAAATGAAAGGAGACTGTTATACGTTAAAAAAGTTTTTTTGAAGGTGAAAAAATTATACAATAAAAAAAATTTTTAAAAAAAATTTAGGGGTGACATGTTATGCGATGAAAATATTGCGCTGTTTTTCAAAATGAGATTTTACTAAATATTTGTCTAATGGCTAATAATAGCGGCAGTAAGACTCGGAAAATAATTTTCATCGTATAACATGTCACCTGTCATTTTTGAAACCTTGAATAAAATTTTCAAATTTCAATTTTCTTCACCATTAAAAAACACAAATTTATGAAAATCTTTTCATCGTATAAAATGTCACACCCCATTCTTTTCTTTTTTTAATAATTTTTTTTGTCGTATAACATTTCACCTGTCATTTTCAAACCATGACTAAAATTTTAAAATTTCATTTTTTTTCACCATTAAAAAATCAAATTTAAGAAAAGCTTTTCATCGTATAAGATGTCACACCCCATTCTTTTCTTTTTTCAACATTTTTTTGTCGTATAACATGTCACACTTTATTTTGAGCCAAAAATATACATAATATACATTTGAATTCTCTTCTCTGGCCCAAAAGCATGACTTGAATGAAACCCCCTAAATTCCGATTTCAGTGGCTCATCACAATAACCATCAACAGTTATGTGTTCAGTGTGCCGGACATGTTCGAAAAGCTGCCATATTGTCTTGCGACTTTCCAGAAAAATCAATTGAAAATCAAAAAATTCCTCCACCTTCTACTACCGCTGGAGCTCTTGATCACTTTCGGCGACATTTGTCTGTGGTGGGTGAATCGGCAAACCCAAAAGAAGACGTAGGTCATTTCCATCGCTTTGACCGGTTATTTTTAGGGTCTGTTTTAGTGTCTACAGTGATTACTCGTTGTCGAAGTCGTTCCAACAGTCCGAGAATACGATCACAAGCAAATTGGTGCTGCAGATTTCGCTATTGCACTCTGGATTTTATATTATTTACTTGGTTTCGACGTCGGCGTATCGGGCGGTCAGCAGCTACGATGAGCATCCGATGACTTTCATTGTGGTGGTTATGAATATTCACAACGTAAGTGATAGTTGGTATCAGTGGCGTGCTTTACGAGTTTGTTTGCAAAGTCGTTGGAGTAATTTTTGCGACATTCACTGTGCAAGAAAAGTCAGGACGCGATTTTTGATTCAATCTTTAGCGCGTGACAGCCCAAAAAAACCAATTCAAGAAGCACCGAATAGCACAGTGCAAATTGAAATATCATTCTGTCGGGAAAATAATGAGCGCAACGTCGCTGCGCTGAACGTCTCGCCGAAGTGAAAATCAATTTGACTTTGCAGCGACACAATTCATTTTATCGGCGACGAGGCGATTTTCGATGAGACAGAGTGCTCACAATTTTCGCGACAGACGGAAAACTCCGATTCACTTCGAAAACGCGGAAGTTTGCTTTTGAGACTAGTCCCTTTGCAAAGTCGCTGGAGTGATTTTTGGCGTTTGCACTATACAGAGAAAGTCAAAAAAAAGCCTGTTGCACAGTGCACAGTGAACTTTTGTTTTCTCACAGTGCATGTTGCCGAAAAAACACCAGCGACTCCATGGGCGGATTACTACTCGCGACATAAAGTCCGTGAAATTTTCACAGTGCATTTCTGTTTGATTTTTTCATAGCCGCCGCGACGCACGGCAACCCAGGGAGTCTCCCGCCTCGTTTCGGCGCTTCGCCCCCCTAGTATCGGTTGAATTCAAACGAAATGTCAAAAATGAATTTTTCGTGCGGGTTTCCGACCGAAAAACATTTTTCTCGGAATTATTTTATTTCTCTTGTGAATTTTGACACTTCGTTTGGACGAAATTCAAAAGTGGGCGGGAGACATTTTTGTTCTATTCTGGGTTGCCGTGCGACGTTTCGTTTTTACGCAAGCGACATGCACTTTTTCGCGAGGCGACTTCCAGTTTTTCGAGCGATGTCGGCGAAAAAATCCTACTACTTTATCGGTTAGGACTGTTAAGACATATCAGTCTGTCGGGAAAATAATGAGCCCTCTGTCCCATCCAAAGTCTCATTTCCGCCGAGAAAATTGTGTCGCGACAAAAGCAAATTGATTTTCACTTCAGCGACGCAATTGGAACAACGACATTGTGCTCATTATTTTCCCGACTAAGCGAAATCATTTCCCACTTTTCAGATTGTTGTCCTTGGCCTGACCGTCTGTATTATTGTCTATTTATGGAGCCTTCGTGTCATGGATGATAAGCGAAAAATACGGGAGATGAATCAGGGATCAAAGAAGAATACGGAGATGTACTTTATGCTGCTGTACACCCAGTTGAAATGAAATGGAAAGTGATCAATTTGCCATGCTGTTTGTTTCTAGAAATACCATAGAGACTGGTGAAGATACGACAGTCTAAATAATCAGCGGAAACTTCAACAGTTAGCTGCTGCAAAGCTTTCCGTCGGACGAAACTTAATCCTTTGTTAATGTTGAAATAAATTCAGGGAAAAATAAATTTGTTACAGGCAATTAAAATTTCGACAAATAGCATTCAGATAACTGCCATTTACACTGCAGGAAGTTCCCAGTAAGTAGCAATTGTCATGACAAACAGACGGAATTTGGTTCCATTTAGTTTCACTCCACACTAAACATGAGGTTATGGTAGTCCCTCAATCTTAATGCCGAAGATTGAGCATATTTCAACAAATTTGTTTATAGAGAGAAGGCATGCCTATAGGATAGCTGTCTGTCAAGAAAATGGCTGCCTTGGAGTCGCCCATCATCGCTTTCCGACGGTTAGCTGTAACTGGAGATTTGGTGGGCGACTGCACCCTTTCTTCCAGGCGAAACATTTTGCTGCGATGATCCGTGTCGACAGGCCCGGGGAGACAACCACACGACAAGACGAGAAGCTCGAGTTCAAGTGATTTATTGAGTGAAAAGCGGCCCTTATATAGGGAAATCCCACGTATGAAAGTACAATCAAATTTAAATAAAAAATGATGATTTTCGTGGGAATTCGGGCTCGAAGTTCGGTCGTTCCGCCTCACAACCCGCAATTTTTGGCGTATGCAGTGTGCAAAAAATGATGCGAACGATAGCTGAAAAAAGCCTATTGCAAGGTGCAGAAAACAATAAGTTGAACAGTGCGAAGAGAAATTTCGTTATCGCGCAATGCATGTCGCCAAAATCACTTCAACCACTTTGCCAACCGACTGATTGAAGTTCCTGACTTCACCTACGCATCAGATTGCTTTTATTCCTCCAAAAATAAAGTTCTTGTTGCAATTGCTGCAAAAAACAATGAGCATTTTTCAACTCCTGTCCTAAACCACACTTGACAGCCAGCCAGAGTAATCAGATTACCAAAGCGCGAGCAAAAATCGAGACAACTTTCACAATAGTCAAGTACCGAGTATCAACTGCATAACATGATTACACCGTGACTAAGTTTTCCAATGCGAAATATCTTGTGTTGACCGGTTAATGAAATATGTCTTGTAATTATCGTGATATATGTCGGGGTTTTTAGAGGGATATAATTAAAACGTTTTAGAAGACCTATTATATGGTAAAAATTTGTCTAACAATAAGTGCAGTTGAACAGTTTTTTTATACACTTTTAGTTGAGCGTTACGTTAAATTTGACCTTTTTCGGAGTAAGAGTTCACTGACATAAACTATAATAGAATAGAATGAAACGTACTATGATACTACAAAATAATTAAAACCGTTCTATTTATGGGAACGCAGAGGGTACCGTAAAGGCGGTGATGATTGCAAAATTTACAGTCTATATTTGGTGAAAAAAACCTGGGAAAGCCTAGTAGAAGAGCGAAGATTTAAGCGTGATACGTGCCTTTTTGGTGTATGCTTTCAACAGTTTAGAGTACTCAAAAATCGAATTACGAGTGATTCCTACGATAGCACACTTTTTTGTTGCAACCTTTAGCCTCTTCCTGGGTTTTTAAAGCAGCCTTCATATGGCCAATCGGCCAGTTATTATCAGCTTCACAAACATTTCTTTTTGAAAGGCAAGCATAGGGAATGCTATTTTGGAATACATGCGATCAGTCCGTCGGGAAAATAATGAGCGTAATCCCGCTGCGCCAATTGTGTCGCTGAATTGAAAAGCAATTTGATTTTGCCGTAATACAATTCATATTTTGCGGCGATACGATTTTCGATGCGACTGGGCGCTCACAATTTTCCCGTCGGACTAATATGTATTTACATCATCGCGAATAGCCTACTTTTTAATACGTCGATGTAAAGACCGTGCCGGTCGACTTCTGGTCTCTAATTTTTTTGGGTCCATTTTCACTTGAAGACGGACAAATTACAACCCTGCAGGGGCGAACGTCCTGTTTTTGTCTCCTTCCGAACGCATAACTGTAATTATGCCCTACGGCCCACCTTGTTTCAACTAACATACGCCTCCATTTCACAGCCTCACCTGCCGATGTAATGAATCGTACGTTAATATGCGCCGAATCCGAGGCGTATCGGAACTATGTGCCGCTGAAGATCGCTGAAGCTTGTTCTGCGTTGATTTGCACGCCGACATTTTTGGTGTTGAGTTACATTGCAATTACGAGAAAAAAACGAGTGATAACCAGTTCGTTGCATTTCAATTTCAAGGTAGGACATCTGCTGAGTCTGTGTGGTGCTATGGAATATTATTATAGTACTATGCCTTTTCAAAAGTGCGCAGATATTTTTTGCGGTTCATTTTTCCACTTTTTGCACTGTGCAATGTCTGAAGTGCAAAAACCGAAAAAATGCGCGTTTTTTGAACACGGTGCGGGCGCGAAAATTGTCCATGCACTTTATGGAAATGCTATCAGTCTGTCGAGAAAATAGTGAGCCTCTGTCACTGCGCCAATCCCGTCTTTGAAGTGCAAGGCAGTATGATTTTGCCACAACACAATTCATTTTCGACAATGCGGCTTTCGATGCGACAGAGCGCTCATTATTTTCCCGACAGACTGATACCGACATAGCCACTGCTTTACGGCAACCTTCAGTTCAAAATTTCCGCAATTTCAGCTTCTCCTTTACAATATTTGGTTCGTTTTGATGTGCCAAATGCTGTCAGACATTCTCTCGTGCGTCTACATGGTCTATCGCATGGCATTCGTCTCCGATTATTGTGCCAACACATTCTACGTATGGCAAGGGTTTCTGTTGCGGGGGCCAGTGTTGTGGGCGATTCCAGCACTAACACTTGTACATGCGGCCGCGTTGCTCGAACGGACAATGGCAACAAGGTACGCGGAAACCTACGAGCGACGCGGGAAAGGCCTCGGGATCGCGACCATGGCTTTTATGGTACGAATATTTTTGTTTCAGCTGGATGTGGCTTACAAGGGAAATACCCCAAGTGCGACGCTCAGATTTTGATGAAACTTGGCAAAATTTAGAATAACTTTTTATAAAATATATGCGAGAATTCTCGATCCCGCTTTGCAGAAACAACCGAGATTTTTAGATCAAAACTATGCAAAAATTTGAGACTTTTTGCCAAATTTTGGCACAAAAAGTTTCGTTCCTATTTCTACCGTAAAGGGTAATATTTCCACAAAAAATCAATTTTTTCTGCACGAAACTAGGAAACTTATGGCCAAAAAGTGTCTCTCTCTCTGACCGGTAGTTTAGTGTACTCTCTTGGCGGCAAGGACCATTCAACATCCCGGCATGCAAAGCACAAGCTAAAACTTTCAGGAATGGATACTTAGTCTATGCCCGACGTGTGTGCATAACTTAAAAAAATCTTAACGTCGCACTTGGGGTACTTCCCCTGTTCGTATGGCTTTGCCATATAGGGAAGGGGAACTTATAAACTAACAAAAAAAGGCAAATAATTTTCAGTGGATTCTCGGTACCGCAATCAATTACATCGTCTTCGCGGTGGACGATGTGTTCGAAGAGCTGCCGTATTGCTTTGTGACAGTCCCCAAGAACCAAGAACGAATCAGACTAATGCTGACCGCACTACTTCCAGTGGAACTTCTCATCACAGTCGGCGACATTGGACTGTGGTGGGTGAATCGGCGCGACCTGAAAACAACGTATGTGACGGCGTCAGGGTGAAGAACTGCAATGCAGTGTGTCTTTCAGAGTCTACAAGGCCTATTCCTTGTCCAAGTCGTTTCAACAGTCGGAGAATTACTTGACCAGCCGGCTGGTGATGCCAATTTCTTTGGCGCACTCCTCGTTTTATTGGGTGTTTCTCACTGTGACTTCAGTTTATCGATCATCGCATGGCTATGATGGTGAGCCGAAGGCGTTCGTGGCGGGAGTCATCTACGTGAACAATGTGAGAGTTTACATAGCGGTAAAAGGTTGTGGGAACTTCTCACGGTGAAAATTCCCAGGATTTTTTGCCACAAGGCATCTTTGAGATTTTTGGAGGGTTAGAAATGCCTCTTTTTCAAGTTACGCTGTTCCAGATTCTCCTCATCGGCCTCAATGTATGCGTAATCGTTTATCTTTGCTGCCTTCGAAAAATGGACAATGAACGGCGGGTCCGTGAGATTGAGCAAGGGCCGAGGAAGAATACTGAGATATACTTCAAGATGCTGAATACTCAAATAAAGTAAATACGAGCAGAATCTAATTGGGGCTCACTCGTGGCCGGGGCTGGGCTGGGAAAATGCGTGAAAAGGAGCATGTAAACTATGTGGATTTTGCAGCCAGCTGACTGTGGCTGTCCGGTAGGGGCCACAGGGATACATAGTTTGCTTCCTCTACGTTGATTGTTGGGATCAGCAGATTTAGCGCGATGATGTTCTCGGCCCTGTGGATGAGTTGGATTATGTTAAAGTACTTGCGTGGCGGGGCTTCTTGACTGGCAGAGATTCTCCAATGTAGCCTCCACAAACGCAATAACACTTACATTGTTAGGGAAAAGATAGTACCTACAGTGACGGACCCGATCCAGTAGCAAAAAACGTACTATTTCGCATCTGGGAAGCATCAAAAATGCGGCAGAATGCTTCCCTCACCTTATTCTTTGTTTTGAAGGGCGCGCCCTTTCCCTCACAAAAGGAGTGGGCGCGCTTTTGAAATCGGGGTTTTTTTCACTTGGAGAGGGAAACATTTTGCCACATTTTTGATACTTCCCGGATTCAAAATGGTACGTTTTTTGACACTGGATCAGGTCCCGTCACTGTTGGTTGTTGACGGCGATATCACCCTTGGATTTTCATTCTCCGGAAGGCCGCGGTGAGGACTTCTTCGCCCTCAACTTTTGTCCTATCTTCATAGAGCCTGGACTCGTGCCTCATGCCTTATGAAGTGTTTTTTAAACCTTTCCTAACGTCTTGCTCTAAAAAATGAAACACAACCTGGATAACTTCTAGCATCAGTTTTTTCTAAGTTTGTGGCGTACAAATGTCAAAACAGAACCGAGTGTTAAACAACATTGTGGACAACTCGTACAATTATATAGATAATCAAATGAACCAGTTTCTTCGGCAGAGTGCGTAATTGCGTTATGCGAACATTGGAAATGAAATTGAAAGCCCGGTAGTTTTGTAGGGCAACATGTCGTTAATTGTTCTGTAGAAAAACGTATAACTTCTTTTTGAAAAACTGTTTTGCGGTGTGCGGCGCAGAGGTTCCTACTATTTTTTTATCTGACTTTTGCAAGGGCCAAAAATCACCCCGGCGACTTTCGCAAGGACCGGAATCTATCATTTTCTATCTTTTGGTGCCGAAAAATCATATTTAAAAGCTCTTACAGTTCCGACCTTCTTCAACGTTTGTTTAGCACGTCCCACAAAATTGACTTCCAAAAATTTGGAATGAATGCGACAGTTTTATGCGGGGAATCTGAAGAATATCGCGTGTACTTGCCCCTCAGAGCCAGTGAAGCCGTGTCGGCGGGCCTGTGCATTCCGGCGTTTGTCATGTTGGTCTACACGGCCGTGACAAGGAAAGAACGGGTAATTACGTCGTCATTGCATTTCAATTTCAAGGTAGGCTGATCAATGTTTGCAATGCCCTTGAAATAGTCATTAATTTTTTTGATAGCATATCTGTCTGTCGGGAAAATAATGAGCACAATTTCTCTGCTCCGATCGTGTCGCTGAAGCAAAAAGCAATTTTCTCGCGGAAAACTTCCCGTGTTTCGCAGCGACAAATCAACTTCTTGGAGCGCGACGAAATTTGAGGGTCACGAGAAATTCCCAGGACTCTTTTCCGCGACTATTTTGCAGCGACAATATTCATTTGCTCAACTGCGATGCGATTTCCGATACAACAGAGTGCCCATTATTTTCCGACAGAATGATTTTTTACCCTTGCATTCTTTAGTTGCTCCTCTACAATATCTGGCTGATTGTCGCATGCCAAGTGCTGTCTGGTGTACTCTCTAGCTGTTACATGCTCGTCCACTCCACCTTCTCGTCGCAACATTGCTCTAATCTATTATTCACGGTGTGGCAATGCTTTTTAATCCGTGGTCCCGTGCTCTGGGCTATTCCTGCGATAACTCTGGCGCATGCCGCTGCGCTGCTGGAGAGGACGTTGGCCACACGATACTCCGGCGACTACGAAAAGCGCGGAAAGAGTGTGGGGATCATGACGATGATTTCAATGGTAAGAACAAGGTTCGAACTTATTGTATGTAAATTGTTGATATGGAAACAATATTGCGAAGGGACCAGTAATTACTTGTATTTTTAGTGGATTCTCGGCGCAGTCATCGACTACAATATCTTTGCTGTGGACAACGTGTTCGGCAAGTTGGCGTACTGCAACGCGACCGTTCCCGAGAACCAAGGACGCGTCAGGAAAATGCTGACTTGTCTACTTCCAATCGAGCTTCTCATCACAGCCGGCGACATTGGCTTGTGGTGGATAAATCGCCGCGACCAAAAACAAACGCAAGCTCTGTTTGTATCGATACATTGTGATTTAGGATTTGTTATACGGATTATACGTTGTCAAAGTCGTTTCAACAGTCGGAAAATTACTTGACCAGTCGATTGGTGCTGCCAATTTCTCTAGTCCACTCTTCCTTCTACATGGTTTACTTGGCGGTGACTTCTTCATTCCGATCGTCGTTTGGCTACGACAGCGATCCGAAGGCTTTTATGGTCGGAATCAGTTTGGTGAACGGGGTAGGAAAACCGTTTCAAAGAGGCGTGGCTTTCGAGCGTAGGAACTTTACACGATCCATAAAAAGATCGTGTCTATTTACTATCGGTCTGTCGGGAAAATAACGGCGGGTTGTCGCGCTTTGGAATCGCCCATCATCGCTTTGCGACTGTAAGCCGCGGCTTGGGATTTGGTGCGCGATAGCGGCGAGGCGAAACATTTTGCTGCGACGACTAGTCTAGACCCGCCGTTGTTTTCCCGACAGACTGTTGGAGAGGGCAGCATTTTGCCACATTTTTGATACTTCCCGGATGCATAAATGGGAAGTTTTTTCCACTGCATCATCTCTCATTGTAGTATCAGGATTATTTAGAGCTGATTGGACAGTTTTTCTCCTCAGGCACTCAGTTTCGCTAGCCCTGAGTTTGAAGATCTTGCCTGTTTTTAGCTCTTGAATGTAACTTTTTTCAAATGAGATGACCGTCGTTCAGATTCTAACAATTGGCCTGGCGATATGCATCATCACTTATCTTTGGTGCCTCCGAAAAATGGAAAACGATCGTCGACTACGTGAACTCGAACATGGATCAAAGAAGAACACCGAGATCTACTTCAAGATGTTGAATTCTCAAATAAAATAATTGCAAAGAAAATGGCGACATTTATAGTATTGCGGTTAATGGTTCCTATCTACGTGTGCTGTAAAATGAATATCATTTATTGCGCAAACAACATTAACTACAGGTACGTTTTGCGGGTTCTGAACCCACCGATTCGATGACATTAGCACCTGTAACGTAGCACGTTTTCAAAGATTGTACCTACAATGACGGACCCGATCCTTCAGTCTTCCCGTGTAAATAACCATACAGCGACGAATCCGATCCGGTATACAGCGACGGAGCCGATCCAGTGGCAAAAAATGTACCATTTTGGATCCGGGAAGCAAAAAAATGTGGCAAAATGCTTCCCTCTCCAAGTGAAAAAACTTCGTTTTGAAGGACGCGCCCTTTTTCCTCACAAAACGAAAGCGGAGTTTTTTCACTTGGAGGAGGAGGTATTTTGCCACATTTTTTGATGTTTCCTGGATGCAAAATGGTACTTTTTGCCTCTGGATCTCTGTAGTTGTGGGTCTTTTACTTTCTCTGCGTTGATTGTTGGGATCAGCCGATTTGGCGCGATGATGTTCTCGGCTCTGTAGATGAGTTGGTTTGAGTTAAAGCACTTGCGTGGCGTTGCGTCTTGACTGGCAGAGAGTCGCCACTGTAGCCTCCACTAACGCAATGACGTCAATAGCAGTTAGCGTGAAGGTATCAGCTTGGTTATTGACGGCAATATCACCCTTGGGTTCTGATTCTCCGGAAGGCCAAGCAGAGGCCGAAACGAGGCCCTCATCGCCCTTTAATTTTGTCGTAATTTCAGAGAGCTTGAACTCATGCCTTATGCCTTATGAAGTGTTGTTTTAGACCTCTCCTAACGTCTTGCTTTCGCAAAAACAGAGACAAAACTTCGCATGGGGGACAACTCTTGGCATCTGTTTTTTCTTTTATATTTTATGGCGTACAAATGTCAAAACACCACCGAGTGTCAAGCAACATTGTGGACAACTCATCCAATTATATAGATAATCGAATGAACCTGTTCCTTCGGCAGCGTATGTAATTGCGTTATGCGAACATTGAAAAAGAAATTGAAAGCCCGGTAGTTTTTTAGCGATAACATGCTGTTTCTTAGTCTATAGACAAACGTATAACTTCATTCTAAAAAACCATTTTGCAGTGTGCGGCGCAGAGGTTTACGGTATTTTTGTTTGGGGCGATTTGAAGTTTACACTGTGAAATTTCTTCCACTTTGCATCGTGCAAGAGGCTTTTTTGGCCCTGACTCGCACCCTGACTTTATTCGCACAGTGCAAAAGGCCAATAATTACTCCGACGACTTTTGGAAGGACTGGTATACATTATTTTCTATCTTTTGATGCTCCAAAAAGTATATTTATAAGCTCTTGTAGTTTTGACCTTCTCCAACGTTCGCTTAGAACGTACCACAAAACCGCACATTGACTTGCAAAAATTTTAGTATGCCTGAAATGAATGCGACAGTTTTATGCGAGGAATCTGAAGAATATCGCATGTACTTGCCCCTCAGAGCCAGTGAAGCCGTTTGTTTACTTTTGGCCGTTCCGGCGTTTGTCCTGCTAGTGTACACGGCTGCGTCAAGAAAGGAACGGGTAGTGACGTCATCATTGCATTTCAATTTTAAAGTAAGCTGATCAATGTTTACAATGCCATCAAATTAGTCATAATTTTTTTTGATAGGATATCTGTCTGTCGGGAAAATATTGAGCACAATTTCGCTCATCCAATCGTGTCGCTGAAGTGAAAAGCAACTTGATTTTTGCAGCGACAATATTCATTTTCCCATGCGGCTTTCGTTTGCTCATTATTTTCCCGACGGACTGATTTCTTTCTTTTGCGCTCTTTAGTTGCTCCTCTACAACATCTGGCTGATTGTCGCATACCAAGTGTTGTTTGTTATATTCTCTTGCTGTTACATGCTCGTCCACTCCACCTTCTGGTCGTATCGTTGTTCCAATCTATTCACGGTGTGGCAATGCTTTTTAATTCGTGGTCCCGTCCTCTGGGCCATTCCCGCGATGACTCTGGCGCATGCCGCTGCGCTGCTGGAGAGGACGTTGGCCACACGATACTCCGGCGACTACGAAAAGCGCGGAAAGAGTGTAGGGATCACGACGATGATTGCAATGGTAAGAACAAGGTTCAAACTTATTGTATGTAAATTGTTGATATGGAAGCGAAATTTTTAGTGGGTTGTCGGCGCAGTCATCGATTACAATATCTTTGCTGTGGACAATATGTTTGGCAAGTTGGCGTACTGTGACGCGACCGTTTCCGAGAACCAAGAACGCGTCAAGAAAATGCTGACTTGCCTGCTTCCAATCGAGCTTCTCATCACAGCTGGCGACATTGGCCTGTGGTGGATCAATCGCCGCGACCAAAAACAAACGTAAGCCCTGCTCGAATTAGGATATATTGTGATTTAGGATTTGCTATACGGATTATACGTTGTCAAAGTCGTTTCAACAGTCGGAAAATTACCTGACCAGTCGATTGGTGCTGCCAATTTCTCTAGTCCACTCTTCCTTCTACATGTTTTACTTGGCGGTGACTTCTTCCTTTCGATCGTCGTTTGGCTACGACAGCGATCCGAAGGCTTTTATGGTCGGACTCAGTTTGGTGAACGGGGTAGGAAAACTGTTTCAAAGAGGCGTAATCTCCGAGCATGCCAAGTTTACACGATCCGTAAAAGGATCTTGTTTTTTTTACTATGTAGTACTGGCCCTTCCGGAAAGTCGGTGGACAGAAATCGGCGACACGCACTGCAAAGGCAAAAGTTTTCTTCGCGCTTCGCAATTTTTTGCTTTTTGCAGCGTGCAATAGGCGTCTTTCGGCTCTCGCCCGCGCCCTCAACTTTGACGCCAAAAATCAGTCCAGCGGATTTCTGGAAGAACTACAGTGGGGAACCTAATCCAGTGGCAAAAAACGTGCCATTTTGCATCCAGAAAGTATCAAAAAGTGTGGCAAAATAGCTCCCTCTTGAAGTGAAAAAACTCATTGTCAGATTTCAAAACCGCGTCTACTCTTTTTGTGAGGAAAGTGGGCGCGCCCTTCAAAACGAAGTTTTTTCACTTATCGAGGGAGACATTTTGCCACATTTTTGATAATTTCCTGATGCAAAAATGGTAAGTTTTTTGCCACTGGATCAGGTTCCCACTGCAGTTCAGGATTATTTCTAGCATATTGGAAAGATTTCCTCTTCAGGCACTCAGTTTCACTAGCCCAAACTTCGAAGATCTGTGACCTGTTTCACGAACGCGAAATAAAGAAAATAGAAATATGAGTGAGCGAGAGAACAAAAGAAATGCATGCAAAACAGCAGAGACGGCAGAAAAATGAGGATTTTAGCCACTCCTCAATCGGGGTGACTTTTTACGTCCAAAATCTGGGTTGGTGGCAGTGTTTCGGTCATAACTTTCTCCTCCATGGGCCTAGAATCACCCTTCAAAATTTCGAATTCAATGAGATGACCGTCGTTTAGATACTGACAATCGGCCTGGCGGTATGCATCATCACGTATCTTTGGTGCCTCCGAAAAATGGAAAACGATCGGCGACTACGTGAACTCGAACATGGATCAAAGAAGAACACCGAGATCTACTTCAAGATGTTGAATTGTCAAATAAAATAATTGCAAAGAAACTGGCGACATTTATAATATTACGGTTGATGGTTCCTGACTACGTGTGCTGTAAAATGAATACCATTTCTAGCGCAAACGACATGAACAACAGGTACGTTTTGCGGGTTCTGAACCCACCAATTCAACGACGTTAGCACCTGTAACGTAGCACGTTTTCATCATTCTTTTTGAATTTATGCCCACAGCACAGTGACAAAACCTGGTGGGCGCGCCAAAACTCGACATATAAGACTAATCCAATATCGATAATCGACTTATTCAGTTAAACCTGAAGTACGAAATGCTGTCATCTCTCGTTGCTATGTTTGAGAACGTTTGAGAACATAGCAGGACTCCGTGTTTGAGAGTTTGAGAAGAAACGTGCGCGCAACTAGAATAATTATAAGTTCCATAGTGCAAGGTGTATGAATTTATTATTAATTAAACGTTTCGCAGGTTTGTCGCGAGTTCCAGTGCATTCCCTACGAAAACGAATATGCAGTGGTTTTCGAAATGGGCAGCACTGAAGGCAAGGTTTCAAGGGCTGTTTACTAGGATTTACGTATTAGTCTGCCGGGAAAATAATGAGCAAAATGTCGCTGTGTCGTGTCGCTATACTTAAATCGAAATTTATTTTGTCACGACACAGTTCATTTTCTCGGTGGCGATGCGATTGCTGATGCGACAGAATGCTCATTATTTTCCCGACAGACTGATAGTAAACACTTTCATAAAATGCGTAGACTTTTTTGCCTTTTATCGCGAACGCACAGTGCATTTTCCTTGCTTCCCTTGTTTGTCGCTTATGCACTGTGCGTAAGCCACAAATGCTAACAGTTGGACAACGCTCTCGGCGGTATTTTGATGTTTAAAAACCATCAGCTTGTCGGGAAAATAATGAGTACTTCAGCGGCAAAACCGCATCGCATGGCCCAATTGTCCCGCGGCAAAATCAGATTGCTTTTCAATTTTGCGACGCGACCGGCGCAGCGAAATTGCGCTCATTTTTTTTCCCGACAGACTGGAAAAAGTGCACATGCAAACTGAGACTTGCACAATGCACTTGCTCTCCCGACGAAAAGTCTACGCGCTTTATGAAAATACTATTTAATATTCGGGGCCACAGACGCTGACTTTGTTTTCGGCGTTGACATTATTTTTGTAAATAATGCTGCCTTTATTAATATTTTTTTCATTTTGTCTGACAAGGGAACTCTCGGGGTGCTGAACATTGCGTTCTTCCAAATTTGGTCCAGTTCTTTTATAGGGCCAGTGCCCGAAAATTTCTCCGTCTACAGTACCATTAATAACGCGGAAAAAATATAGTGAAATTCATGTTTGAACAATCACTTTACTGTTTGCAATTTTTGTCTTTGCATCCGGTTATATGTACAGTCTCCGGTTACGTGCATATTAGTATTTTCATAAAGTGCACGGACATTTTTTTGTTTTGCACAGTGCATTTGGACCTTCTCTCTTCTTGCTTGTCGCCAAAGCACAGTGCATTTTTCCCTTTGCGCACCGTGCAAACGACGAAAAACCCGTTTGTACTGTCCAAACGTCTTAGAAATCCTTCTATTTATTTTTTTGTGATTACACAATTTGTGAGATTTTCGTTTCCAGCTTCAACCCCTGAAGAATGTATTCTACAGTTTTATGCAAAGAATCTGAGGAATATCGGGTTTACCTGCCATTGAGAGCCAGTGAAGCCGCGTCGGCGGGCCTGTGCATTCCGGCGTTCGTCATGTTGGTCTATACGGCCGTGACGCGGAAAGAACGGGTAATTACGTCGTCATTGCATTTTAATTTCAAGGTATGCACTTGTTATTCAGCGTTCTTTGTGTTAAGGCTTGCCGGGGGAAAGATTAAACCTTCCTTTTCAGTGTTAGCTCTATGATTTTGGGTCAACGACAGTTCCAACGGCTTTTATAGGCTTCGTAGGTACCTCCTTGAGCCGGGAAAATAGTGAGAGCAATGCCGCTGGGCCAATCGCGTCGCTGAAGTGAAAAGCAGTGTGATTTTGTCGCGAAACAATTCATTTTCTCGGCGGCGATGCGAAATGCGAAGCGAAAGAGCAGTCATTATTTTGCCGACAGCCTGGTACAGTTTTTTTTTGGTTTTCCGCCTGCCCTACGCCTAGTATCCATCAATTTTACGTTTGTCGAACTGTCGTCGACCCGAAGATTTGGTATGATTGCTTACTCCACTCTTTCACTTCTAGCTTCTCCTCTACAACATCTGGTTTATCGTCGCATCCCAACTGCTGTTCGATATCGGTTCTTGTTTCTACATGATCTGGCGACTGACCTTTTTGTCCGATTACTGCTCCAATATTTTTACCGTTTGGGAATGCTTTTTGATTCGGGGTCCGATTCTATGGGCGATTCCAGCCATGACGTTAGCTCACGCCGCGGCGTTGCTCGAGAGAACGCTAGCCACTAGGTGCTCGGAGGATTACGAACGAAGGGGAAAGTGCATGGGGATGATGACAATGATCGGGCTGGTATGTGAGCAGATCTATGAGCTTTGCCGTTTTATGTGTTTTTCTATAGTATCAGTCTGTCGGGAAAATGATGATCGCAATGTCGCATCAAATAGCGCTTTGCACCCAAGGAAAATGAATTGTGCCGCGGCAAAATCAAATTGCTTTTCACTTCGCGATCGGCGCAGCCCAAATGTGCTCATTGTTTTCCCGACAAACGAATACTACGTACCGGATCTGATTTAGCGGCAAAAGAGACGTACTGTTTTGCATCCGGTAGGTATCAAAAACGCAGCAAAATCGGCGCACTTCGAAAAGGTACCATTTTACATCCGGAAGCATGAAAAATGTAGCAGAATACCTCCTTATTCAAGTGAAAGACTCCAGCGTCAAAAGCGCACGCTCTGTTTATGAAGAAAAGGGCTTCATAAAAAGCTTTTCAAAACAGATGCTTTAGTTGGAGAGGGAGGGATTTTCCTGCGTTTTTGATACTTCCCGGATGCACAATTGTGCTAGTCCTTCCGGAAAGTCGCCGGACGGAAATCGGCGACATGCACTGTGCGAAAAAACTCAGGGTGCGAGCGACAACCGAAAAAAGCTTATTGCACTGTGCAAAAGGCAAGAAATTGCACAGTGCAAAGTGAACTTTCGTTTTCGCGGAGTGCATGTCGCCGATTTCCGTCCGGCGACTTTCCGGACGGACTAGTACGTTTTTTGCCACTACCCAGGTCCGCCATTGCAGCCCGTCCACAAAGTCGCTGATGTGATGTTTGCGATATGCACTCTGCGAAAACAAAAACTTACTTTGCGCTGTGCAAATTGTTGCTTATTGCACCGTGCAATTGGCTTTTTTTGGCTGTCGCCCACACCCCGACTTCCCTGAACAGTGCAAAAGCAAAGACTCACTCTAGTTCACTCTAGTGACATTGCGGACGGTCTAGTAACTACTTTTATCTTCAGTGGGTTGTGGGCGCAGTCATCGACTACAATATCTTTGCTGTGGACAATATGTTCGGCAAGTTGGCGTACTGCAACGCGACCGTTCCCGAGAACCAAGGACGCGTCAGGAAAATGCTGACTTGCCTACTTCCACTCGAGCTTCTCATCACAGCCGGCGACATTGGCCTGTGGTGGATAAATCGCCGCGACCAAAAACAAACGTAAGCCCTGCTTGTGTCAACATATCGTGATTTAGGAGCTGCTTCAGAATATATACGGACTATTCGTTGTCAAAGTCGTTTCAAAAGTCTGAAAATTACTTGACGAGTCGACTGGTTCTGCCGATTTCACTGATTCACTCTGCTTTTTATTTGGTTTACTTGACGCTGAGCTCTTCTTTTCGGTCGGCGTATGGCTACGACAGCGATCCGAAGGCTTTTATGGTCGGAATCATGTTGGTGAACGGGGTAAGAAGGTACCTGTGGTCTTATATACGTAAAACGGAAGATGAGCTTTATATTCTATAGGGCAATATGGGACAATATCTCAATCCCTCACATCTCAGTCATGCTCTGATGTTCCCACTGAACTGGAAGATCAAACGTAGATATAAGGCGCGTGCGTTCTACATCTCTTCGGACTTCCTCGCAGAAAACCCGCATTTCTTGTCTGTGGGCCCGCTAGACAAGAAATGCGCAATTCTTGGCTGAGCAGAGAAAAAAAGAAAAAAATCTTCACGGGGAGAGAGCAGAAAATTGCGCAATATTGCGCAATGTTACGCAATTTTAGACAAGAATTGCGCGTTTCTTGTCTAGCGGGACCACAGACAAGAAATGCGGGTTTTCTGCGAGGAAGTCCGAAGAGAAGTACAGGGTGTTTCAAGAAATTCCCCGGAAAGCAATCGTCGATTTCTCGGCGCTCAGCCACGATATCCAAAAAATTTTTTTTGCAGTAGAAAGAAGGTTATGGGCGGTTTTTTGCCTAAAAAAATTTTTTTCTACGCCAACGCGGAATGCAGTGTATTCGGCGAAGACTTTTGATCGCTTTTTTGGTCATCACACACATCTTAAACGCTTTACTGTGACACTGCAGCATCCGGAAAGTCTTCAGATTTTTTGCACAATGGATCAGGAGGCAGGGTATAACGCTATGCGATCCCATTTAGCGACTGCACAGTGCAGTGCAGTCGCTGCAATATCGATAAAGTGGGAGCACACCGCGCGGATGTTTGAAGCAGCAGGACAAAGAGAAATTTAAACAAATTTTTTTTTGTTGTTTTCTGGTGCCCCAAGTGGTTCCGTGATGGCTAGACATCTGCCAAGGCTTGACCACAAAATTTTGGAGGGTATACGATACCCGCAGAAAATAGTTGCCAGACAATAAAAATTGCGTTGGGCCATTTCTGATCCGTATCTGAGTTAAGATATGGCTAGCGGCTGCCATACCTTTGCCGAACGCTTGATAAGCACAAAAATCAGTAAATTATCCGCATTTCAGCCATCAGAAACCACAAAAAATCGTTTAAGATGTGTGTGATGACCAAAAAAGCGATCAAAAGTCTTCGCCGAATACACTGCATTCCGCGTCGGCGTAGAAAAAAAATCTTTTTAGGCAAAAAACCGCCCATAACCTTCTTTCAACTGCATAAAAAATTTTTTGGATATCGTGGCTGAGCGCCGAGAAATTGACGATTGCTTTCCGGGGAATTTCTTGAAACACCCTGTAGAACGCACGCGCCTTATATGTAGGTATTGAGAATCGGCACAGGTTTAGTTTTTTGTAGAATAGGGTTTATTGAGACCGCAAACAAAGAAAAGGAAAATGAGACAATGTTCTAAGAATTGGTGACGAGACGTTGCTTTTATATGAGTTGGTTTATGCTAATTTCTGTGGGAATTGTGGAGACGTTCGACGCTCCACAACACCCACAATCTTTTTGAATCGCTTCTAATTCACTGTCAGCTGAAGCTATTTTCAGGTTCTCACAATCGGCATAACAACATGCATCATCACGTATCTTTGGTGCATCCGCAAAATGGAAAACGATCGTCGACTACGTGAACTCGAACACGGATCGAAAAAGAACACCGAAATCTACTTCAAGATGCTAAATTCTCAAATAAAATAATTGCGTGTAGAAGTTAGTGGTATTCATTACCGTAGACGATCATGTTTTTATCTGCTAAAAGAGCGTGTCTTTAGCTTCTTTCAGCGATCTGTTGGCAGAGCTTCGGCAAGTGTATTAAAAAGGAATGTTGAGGCAAACAAAATTCGATGCAAGGTGGGTCAAGCTTAGGCATGATGCTGCAAAGTGCATGCAGAAAAAAGAAATTTTATCAGTCTGTCGGGAACATAATACGCACAATGTCGCTGCGCCGCACGGCAACCCAGGGAGTCTCCCGCTTCCTTTTGGGACTTCGCTCACCCAGTAAAAATTTTTTTTTTGTTTTTCCGCCCAAAAACATACTTTTTTTTGGAATTATTTTATTTTTTTTGCCAAATGCAACATTTCGTTTGGACAAAACTCAACTCAGAAGTGGGCGGGGGACATTTTTGTTCTATGTATCAGTGTGTCGGGAAAATAACGGCGGATCGTCGCGCCTCGCGCCCATCATCGCTTTGCGACGGCGGCCGCAGCTGGAGATTTGGTGCGCGATAGCGGTGAGGCGAGACGTTCCGATGCGACGATCCGCGTTATTTTCCCGACAGACTGATATATTGGGTTGCGGTGTAAAAAACTCTGTACTTTGAGTTGTATTTTGCAAAACATAATGGTCATCACAAACATGGACAGGTCCGGAAAAACCCGCTCCACTTTACAGTATCAAAATCAATGTCTGATAACCTTCGTTGGGCGTTGGCCGAAAAACTTTTGGCGTGGCTCTCAACGAACAATTCTTTTTTCATTTGGAGAACTGATAAGCGGTTTAAAAATTGTGGAATTTGGGTGTAGAGTGAATGCTAATTGTATTTGTTTATCAAACCGCTCTGAATCATGTGTCATTTGACCAGTGCTTGACCGTAATATTAATATTATTTTCATAAAGTGCATGGACATTTTTTTCGCTTCCTTACTGTGCAGAGATGAAAGTTGAAGCTTTCTTCACGTTTCTCGCTAACGCACCGTGCATTTTTTCTTTTTCGCACAGCGCAAAACGCAAAGACCGTTTGCACTGTGCAAATTTTTCAGCAAAACCGCGACAACGCTGTTGGAAAGAGCTTGTGTCGCGGCGATGCTTCCCATGCACGGTGCAAACACCAAAAAAGCGAAATGCACTGTGCACGAAGGGGTTTTTTGTGCACGGTGCGGGACGCGACAAGAAAACCTCGCTTTTCGCACCGCACATTTCACCTTTTGTTTGTTTTTTTGCTCCGTGCATCTCCCCTTTTGCTTGTTTTTTTGCACCGTGCATGGGAAATATCGCCGCGACATAAACTCTTTCCAACTGCGTTGTCGCAGTTTCGCCCAAACATTTGCACAGTGCAAACTGTTTTTCGAGATTTGCAAGGTGTGAAAAGAGAAGTGTGCGTTAGCGACAGACTTGGGAAAAGGTTCAAAATGCACTGTGCGAAAGGGGAAAATGTCCATGCGTAAAGTCCTTGAAATTTTTTGTGCCTCTGCATTGTGCATGAACTTGAAGAAACATTTTGCACCGTGCATCCGGCCCGAAAAGTGCGTTCGAGCGGTCTATCAGTCTGTCGGAAAAATAACGGCGGATCGTCGCGCCTCGGAATCGCCCATCATCGCTTTGCGACTGTAAGCCGCGGCTTGGGATTTGGTGCGCGATAGCGGCGAGGCGAGGCATTTTGCTGCAACGACCCGCCGTTATTTTCCCGACAGACCGATAGTTTGTTTTTTTGGCTTACGTCGCGCGCGATTTCCAATTTTCGCAGTGACAAATCATTTCTTCGGAGTGCGACAGACTCCTCTGGACTTTTCCACTGTGATTCCACACTGTTTGTAGGGTAATATTGTTATGCCTGCCAATCTTTTTTTTAACTTGTGTGTTTTCCCGCAGGGCAGCTTTGGCACACCGGTGCCTCGCTGTTTATCTCGTACGATATCTGACCCGATTAAGCACACCAACAAATGGGTCGGGTAAGGGGTTTTGGCGATCAGTCGGCACATTCCGCTTTCTTAAACAAAGATCAACGGGAGTAATCTGCGAATTGAATCTTGTGCTCACAAATCGAGATGATCTTTGAACATCTGACGAGGGAAGTGCTGTTGTGACGGACGGATTGTCTGAAAAATTTTAGAGAAACTCTGCACTTCAAGCATTCACAATTTAGCGCGTTTGACATCTGATATCAAACGTAAGAAGGTCTGAGCATCGACACAAAGCTTGTGGAAATTCAGTGAAAATTCAGTGTGGACACGGAAGTTCACACTACCGATTAACCAATAGTGAGCTTCTGTGGCTGCGCCAATCCCGTCGCTGAATTGAAAAGCAATTTGATTTTGTCGCGGACTGTTCCTTTTCTCGGCCAGCCAAGAAAATAACAGCCAAAGATTTTCCCCAAAATGCTATTTGTAACGGAATGCCACTTTGATTAACCTTGACCAGGAATTAGCTTCAACCACGCTGAATTGATGTGCTTTGGCTGTTTTTTTGAACCGCTGTTGATGTCACGACTTCGCGTGCGAATTTGCATATTTCCACGGAATGACCGACAAAGTGGTATAAAAGGAATGGAAATCGTCCAATCAAGAAGTGTAACTTATTCTTGTGTGTCTTTTGCCCGCTGAGGCGGTTGTATGTTTGGAAGCAATAAATCGTCTATTATTGATTTGTCTATCGTATTTCTGATCAACTATTGTGTTGGTGGAGTCAACCATTGTGGGTTTATTAGTCTGTCGGGAAAATAACGGCGGATCGTCGCATCAAAATGTCTCGCCTCGCCGCTATCGCGCACCAAATCAAAAGCCGCGGCTTGCAGTCGCAAAGCGATGATGGGCGATTCCGAGGCGCGCCATCCGCCGTTATTTTCCCGACAGACTGATATTGTAAAATCTGTTGCCTTGGTTTAGTTAGTCGTTTGTCATCGTTTGTTTGCATAGTATTCTTTGGGCTTGGGATCTTAGATCGCAACTAAATTAGGGACCTTCACTCCTTGACCTAGATAAGGTCTTGACATGGCGACCACGGCAGGATTGGAACCTACAATCTTCGGTTCCACGGTAGGATTCGAACCTACCATTTACATTGCTTGACATTGACCAAATGACTGTTTTTGTCATACCTGTCATCAAGTCGCGGGCGTGGGAGGTTTTCAGATTCACACGGGACAACCGACAAGTTGGTATAAAAGGAATGGAAGTCTTCCAATCAAGTATGGATTATTCTGTCTGTATTTTTTGCGCTGCGGCGATTGTGATTGTGGTTTGGTCCATAAATATACTTCTGTTTGTTTACTGCGATTTTATTGTCTGGTCAAGTTCAGCATCCCGTTGAATCCGGAGTTTAACAAAAAATCGTTATTCGTTTGTCATTATTTTTGTAGTCGTATTTAGGATTGGACTCTTAGACAGAACCCAGAATAGGGATCCTGAATCCACGTGGAACCCGTGACACAGCTAATCAAAATTTACGGTAGTCTTTATCAAACGCCCCTAGAGCTGACTCATGCTTCAACATCTCATATGACAGTATCACAAGAATCCGGAACAAATACAGTACTTATTGCCCAACAAGATTGTAAACAACTTCCATTGCAATCTAAAAATGAATGCTTTTTGCCTTATCAGCATTCACTCCCTTTCATTTCCGTAAATAGCTGCTTTTACAGCCATGAAATTCGAACTGTAGGCGCGGATGCGCTGAGGAATTCGAAGCAGCTCCAACGGCACCCGGACTCATCATGAATTTGGTGGTGATGACGCACAAAAATTTCGATAATCGCCCCGTTCCGAGGGCTGCATCCCCGGCGAAAATGCTTATCAGTGACGTCGGCCGTTAAACCTCCACCTCGCTTTTAATTGAGGCCTCGTAATTGTTCGCGAACAGGGTGTGGCCGGGATTGCAGTTTTATCGGGTGTGGCTCGGTTCGGAAAAGTGTAGGCGAACGAGTTGTCCTTGTGTCAGCTATAGCTGCTGACTCAGGGACTTTGTTGAGGGGCAAAATATTTGTTGCGGGTTGCTGATAAACAGAGAATTGATGGCCATGAGCAAGACAAAGGTAGGACAAAGCAGTTAGTGTTCTGTCTTGGATGCAGAGTGAATTAAACTTCCTGCAGGTGACAAAGCTGGCATATCTTCATTTGAAGCTTCAGACTGTTGGGGAAAAAGTGAGCGCATGTCGTTGCGCCAGTCGGTCGCTGAAGGAAAATACAATTTGATTTTGCAGCGACCCAATGCATTTTCTCGGCATGCGACAGAGCGCTGACTATTTTCCCGACAGACTGATAACAGGAAATTGCTCTCTTTGAACCTGCAAACAGAGCCTTATACATACATTGTACGTAGCTGAAGAACTGGAAACAGTACGGCAGAAATATCAGCATCGAAAATCGCATTGTCGTCAAGAAAATGAACAGTGCCGCGAAAAAATCAGATTGAAAATCTGAGCGTCGCACTTCGAGTATTTTATCTGCCATTAGCTTATGCAAGGCACGGAATAAAGAGACCACAGTTACGTAAATCTTATTGTTTGCATAGCAAAATTTCAGTTCCTGCTGACCTTTTTCAAGATCATTTCATCATATTTTACTTTTTCCCTGTTAATTCTTCTTTTATATTCTTGTTACACTCGCTTACCGTATGCTCTTGGTAGATTACGTACGCAGTAAACACGTAATCGTAAAAGTAACGTTCTTTGAGTTGGGTAAATTTTTTAACGATGCCACCCACTACTACGTTGCTTTAGGTTCAAATATTCCTCCAGGGAGCATGCAATAATAGCCAGTCGTAGGATCATTTCGTATGAAATGTGCCATGTTTCACTTCTGTCTTGGTTATCTTTATCACAAGTTCAACCCGACGGATACATGTTGAGCTAATTGTAAGCATAATTACTGTCAGCACAAAACGGGACTTGCGCTCCGTTTAGGTTTGCGGTAAAACCTCTCTATAACGTATAATTTTTGAAGAACCGAAACCAAATTTTAGGTCGACATAAGCCTCTGTA